ATTCCTCCCACTCCTTCCAAACCCAGCATTTTCTATCAATCAGCTGAATTATACTCTAAGCATAGTTTCAAAGTCTCACTCTCTACAGCTCAGACACCATGTTCTCCAGATGATTCCAGCAAAATACACCATATTAAACCAATGGGTAATCCTACAGAAATATCTCTCTCCTGTTTCCCAAGACCGGGGACCATTATTCACATCATACAGTCTTTGCTAGCTCACACAGAGCATTCCCAGTCCTGCACTGGTCACACACTTTATCTCTGCAATGCAAGGAGAAAAGACACATTTCAAATTAATGCTGTGTGTTCCTCTTGCAGTACTAGAAGAAGAATGGATGCGCTAGTCCTCTGACCTTCCTCTCTTCTTATAGGCTGGAGAATGAAAGGGGTGTCTTTGGAGCTGCAAGGGAAAACTGAACCTGGAATCTCCTCAGACAGCTGGCACTGCTCATTATTATCCCTCTGAAAGACTGCCAGGAGAGGTTGAACAGCCTCCACCCTTGGAGGTTTTCCAGATCCAAAGAGACAAAGCCATGAGTAACCCAGCGTGATCTCAGAACGAGCCCTGCTTGAGCTGGGGTTGGACTAGAGACGTCCTGGGCCCTCTTCCAGCCTCAACTATCTTCTGATTCTATGAAAGAAGCTATGTTTTGATAGTATACAGAAGAGACTTTTGAGACACCTGTGTGCTATGTTCATAATCTTTCAAGGGGAAACACAAGGATGGCTTGTGTCTGCACTGCCACACACCAGAGTAACATAATGAAATGAACTGATCTGCTGCATCCACTTGTCACCCTGGTACTGCCTGGATTTTATCTTGAGTTATGTGACAAAGTGATTGTGCTAAAGAAAAGCAGATTTTCAGTGTTTTACAGCTAAATGCTCAAGAGTTTGGAGGGGCAACTCAGGTTGCATTTGTAATCACAGAGGGCATGTAGTGCTCCAGGTCTGGGAGCCAAACAGAATTGCTTGGGCTGGATTTGATTCCCTACTCCCACTACTGCCTCTGTCTACACACGGCTGCTGTGTTAGGCTTTGGCAGCTTCCCCTAGTGACTCTTGGGCATCAGGAAGTGCCTGAGCAAGGACAAATGAGGAGGAGGAACATTTACCAGGGCACCGCCAACACCACTGCTGCAAGGCTGGAGCTTTTATCTTACCCTGGAGACCCTCACTTGTTAGTCTAAAAATCAAACACATCACCTTGATGATATTAAGAGGGAGGGAATTTGGAGATTTGAACAATCTTGTGCTTATATGCAGTGACACAGCAATAAGTCAAGGTGCATACTTCAGGGAAAACTACTTTTTAGTTTGGGCTTCCCCATTAGGATTCCGTGGAAAGAAACAGTGCAGAAGATGTAGCAGCATTTTAACGCTGTATAGGATCTCCTTCCCTCTTTAGAGAGTATGCACTGACTGTGAATTTTATGCAATGATTTGCTAGGCACAATACATTAGAAATTTTGAAAAACTCTGCTTTCTCCACCTCAAAAAATACATGTATTTGGGGCTCTGCCCTTCAGATTTCAGAAATTCCTGCAATATAGATTTAAAGACAAGTTAAAAATAACACTGCATTTCCAGCAGCAAGATTTTAAGAATCAGATGTCACCCTACCTGACCTCAATTAAGTCTGGCTGAATCAGCTGGATAGGATCAAGCAGGGTGTGAAAATCTGTATTCTACCAGTGGGGAGAGAAAAGAAGACCAGTTGGAAATTTCAGTGTGAAGCTGGTTCAGTATGAAGAGGAGAATTTCAAGTGTGAATGTGTGTATGTGTTCGTGCATGTGCTGGGGAAAGTAGGGTTGGCAAGGGAGACAGAGGAGAGCTTTGTGTTCAGTGCTTCCTCTGACACAGCTCAGCTTGTTCCCTATCTCCCAGTTTCACTTCTGAATGTGCAGGAACATGCGGTGGCTCCTTGTTCCCACCATCTTCATCATCCCTTACACTCAACAGGTAAGTTCATTAAAAAGAAAAAAAAGATTTTCCCCTTCCTCACCTTGTTCCAGTTAAAAGTTTTTATTTGCTTTATGACGAATTAACTTTCAGAGAAGTAAATTCTTCATAAAGAATAAATAGCCATTCCCTACTCCTGAGTAAATTTCATTTGCAGCTTATTTACTGCATCAGTCATGTTTTGGTAATTTTTTTTTCTCTTCGTACATTAATATGACTTAGTGGGAAGAAAAAAGTGTTAGAGAAGCTTAAATTGTCACTGACCTTGCTTATTTTTTTAATTTTTTTTTTAATATTTAATATAAGCACAAATGACTATCCTATGCAGTAAGAAAGTAAACATCTTATCTATGCTCATATTCCATAATATATATGTATACATGTGTTTGCAAATATATATATATATATATATAGACACAGCAGTCTGACTTCAGACTAGTTTTACGAATGAGAAAGGTACCTGGGCTGTGTTATATTTTGTCTCTTAGGAGAAAATTTTAAGTGATAGTTTTTTCTAAAGGTATTTGTGTCAAGGGCCAATTTCATTATTTATTTACCTAATTTTGAAATTCCACTCTATGTGTACACAGTGTATTTTTCCTTTACAATCAAGATGAATGTCAACAGAATTTTTAAATGGCTGTCTCCCTCTGCTTTCTGCATATTTAAAGCCAGACTAAGATAACCAAACATTAGTCATAATACATTGCCTATTTTGCTATTTGCTTATTTATGCCATACTAACCTTGTTCAATCTTTAAAACACAGGAAAACAAACAACACATGAAGGGCTCTTACACAATGGTCTCATTTTCTGATCTGCCCATAGGATCAGGAAAAGTATGCAAGGGACTTGTGTGATGTGAATAGCTTTGGTATAGAAACTTGGGGAAGCACAAATTAGAAAAATATTTGACCTGTAAATTGTACAAGCAAACTTTACATTTTCACTGTAACTTAACAGATATGTGAAGATTTTTCATGTAAACCTAAGTTCTCGGTAATTCCATGGGTAAAACTGTCAGATATTCACCTCATGGTGTTTTTCTTACTTTGTAAGAACTTTTTAGTCTCACACCTTTTAGCTGGCATCTTTTCCTAAAAAAAGGAAACTCACTGAAGTAGAAAGCTGTAGGTTTAAAGCACATTTCAATTTGTAATACAAATGAAACATATTGGTTGAAGCACATGAGGTTACTTCCCACAACACATACCAGTGTTGAAAGATAGTATCTGATTCAAACCACAAAAAACCCCAAAAAACCCTCATATTGCTGGCATATGGCCAAATTCCTGATGATGATGATAATAATAATAATTAATAATAATACTCTGCTTCTAAAGAAAGAAGCAGCAAGGAACTGTGTCCTAAAGCAACCATGTTGTCTTAAACACTGCTAAATGTATAGAACACCTGCTTGTTTTTTTTCCGGAACAGTCCTTTAAGAACATTTATATGCCAATGCACACAACCATCAAATTAACATTATGGTTTATAGGAAAGGCTTAGCTGCCTTAAAAAGTATACTTGAGTTAGTTGTTTCTGTATTATTGTTGCATTTAGATAAAAAAGGATTAGAAGAAATCCTTTAATAAATGAAACATTTACGCAACTATTTTCTTCATACTGCATGGAATACCATATGACATTGTTTAACATACATTTACTATATGAATTGCTTATGTAAATTAATATCTAGCTTAAAAATCATTCAGCTTGAAAGCTACTTCTTTGTAGCTTCATTAGTAGCTGCAGATTAAGATATCGTAAGTATAGTTGTAAATGACCATGAAAAATGGAAATTAGGGGTAGAAAAAAGGCTTTTAAAAGGTCATTTAGTACTGCACTCAATTAAGCCAGCTCAATTATGCTGCAAGAGCTTTCCTGGGCTGTGACATACGAAATGCTGAATTCTGCAGATACTTCCAGTTAGAAAATTGAGCAGCAAGGAACCCCAGCTGAATGACCCCTTTCCCTCAGCATCTCTGCTGGAGGTGACGTCTACACCAGCAGAACTTTGCAGTTTGGAGGAACAGACAGAAATTGATAGGCTGGGCTTCACATGCCCAGAAAAAAATAAATACATAGGATACATGTTTTGGCTTTTTTTATTGCAAGCTTGATGGTGATTCTGGCATCTGATGAGGGGCTGGGTCTTCTTTCCCTTCTGCTCTTTGGGCAGTCAAAGCTGTGTGATGAGAGTGGCTCCCAGGCCATTGTAGAGTGGCCAAGTGCTGTGCATGCCCCCCCTTAACTACAGAACCAGTCATCCATGGAGAATAACTATACCATGATCTGCATTTCTGCTGAAATCAGCAGCATGAAAAGATTTAATGCTAAGATCTAAACTGCTATGTTTTAGTTGTAGTTTTTTAAAAATGGAGATAGACTATAGCTATCTCAAATAGATCCTTTCACACTTTGCTAACTTAATCTGCCCCCATGCTTCAGAAAAATAAGCTCATTAAGAATTAGTTTGGTCTTCCTTTACTTAAAAAAAAAAAAAGAATAATAAACCACATTAATTCTGAGACAGAATGTGTAAACCAATAAATTCTGGCTAGATCTTGACTTCATACTGCAGATACAAATCTCTTTAATGAGATGTGTCTTTGCTCCATAAGCCCTGGATTCAATGAAGGTTTAGTCATGCAAATAAATGCACTCTTAGAAAGTGACCTATTAAACTCAGTGCAGCTTATAGCCTCCCTTATTAGGATTAATTTTTTGCATCTAGCACAAGAGCATTTGTAAATATTATAATGCTCCTTCCTAAGCATCTACTTAAATTTTGGAGCAAAAGCAACACTCAAAAGAGGTTCCATATTTTAAAAGGGTCTTGCCATCAGAGCCGGCACACAGGACTATGGCTGGATATAAAACGATGTGAGGAATCAAAAGCTAATTAATTTGATAAAGGTTTCTAGGAAGGAATATTTACAATAAAACCAGCATTGGCTTTTAAACACTTTTTTTAAAACTTCTGTTCAGTTTTGTTCTATAAAAGGCAAAGGAAAGACCAGTCAATTGTGTTTTGTACAAGCAGTAGGCCAGGCTCACTGGTGGAACATCTCAGTGTATGACACTGACTGATGAAAATGGTCCTCTGTCTTCTACCTAATCCTCACAGCCTCCCTCATGTTTTGATCTTGTGAAATTAGAAATGTTGGCTATCTTCATGCAACTTCTCAGTTTTTTCCATGTTGACTTCATTTTATGTTACTACAGCTACACATATGCATTCAGTGCTCAAAAGAGCCCACTGTGTGTAAGTTTTTCCACAGCCCACCAGAGCAGCCTGGAGATAAACCTTCAGAAACTGGCCAAGTCCAGCGCAAAGAGGTTTGCCACTGGCCATGCCGATGCCCACCAGTGCCAGCCTGCACCCCCGGGGTCAGCCTGGTGAAGGATGGCTGTGGCTGCTGTAAGGTCTGTGCCAAGCAGGCAGGAGAGCCCTGCAATGAAGCAGATGTCTGTGATCCCCACAAAGGGCTCTACTGCGACTACTCGGAAGACGAGCCTAGGTATGAAACAGGCGTTTGTGCATGTAAGTTGTTCTTTCACGTTCCCTCACTGAAATCCAAGTGGGTGGGGACCACTGGGTGAATGGCTTTGGAGGAAAACTCTGCTTGCAGGTGCTGCACAGCTCTGTGCTAAAGAATTTATCCTAATTTAGTCCTCCAACTGCTCAGTCAAGAATCTGAGAGTAGGGCTGTGACTGTATTTAAACTAAGCTGCATTAGTGAAACCAGTTGTGCACATTGTGCACAAGCCTATTACAGGCAGACATGTTGACGTCTAATTTAAAAAGCTGTATAATTTACAAAGATGTCACAAAGACTGACCACATTTTAGCACTCTGGTTAGCAAGACCTACATGCTCCTCCCATGTTAGTAACTGTTGTTCACCATTTTCAGATGTGGTAGCTGTAGGATGCGAGCTCAATGGAGTTTATTATGCCAACGGGCAGACCTTTCAGCCTAACCGGATTTATAAGTGCCTGTGTGTCAGTGGTACAATTGGATGTACCCCTGTATTCACACCGAGATTAGCAGGAAGTCCTTGCGCCAGGGTCCCAGGCAGAAAGAAGCCAGGACAATCCATCTGTGGCCTGGGACAGCACAAACAACTTCAATCAACCAACTACAGACTGATGTCAGGTGAGCCTGGCTATGCTGGTAAACTTTTCTGTACGTGAGTCTTTCTGCATTTAGCGTCCCTGGCTCCAGCAGCCAGGCAGGCAGCGCACTGGCACTTGCCCAATTCTTGCTGAAGGCCTTTGCCAGAGTGACTGTTGTGTCCCATTTACCCCTGTTACTCTCAGGTCACAGACTCATTTCTCTAAACCTAATGAATGTGAAAAGCAAAAAAGGCTTTTGGCTTCTGTCACCAGGGAATTGGCCAAAGCGTCTTTCTGCAGAAGTTTGCTACCCATCAGATCAGCCCAATTAGGGATACTGCTGGGCAGCCATTTTACAGCCTGGGAACTGCCCCACTTTTTCCTGCTTTGTGGTGTTAGGCAGTCTTCATTTTCATATACATATATTAACATTATGCAGGTCTGCTCTTTCAATAGAAAGCAGAAAACTACAAAAATTGCCTTAGTGGCTTTTCCACATTCACAAATTTTAGGTCACTGCAAGAACAATAGTTGCCTCAAGTTTCTTTATTCAGTCTGATGAAAAGCATTCATAAGCTTGTCCATGCAACTCTGCCAGGGTCCATGGATGTTCCCTTTAACTCCATTCTTGCTCTGCTGCTAACACTAGTTCTCTTTTTCACTCTAAGGAAGCACCATTGCCAGAAGCAGCTATGCCGGCCCTTCCCTGGCCACAGCTGCTACGCTTGTGCAATCTCCTTCCCTGTGCATGTGCAACTTTCTGTGGTGAAAATCATCTTCGTTACAGCTAATGCAGTACCAGAAAGCAGAGCCATTTATTTGGTGGCAGATGGAATCACCATCATGGATCAATAAAATAAATAAAACTATTTATTTTATTGATTGCAATGCTTATCAGAAAAACTTAATCAAAGGCTGCTGAGTAGATGCACATTGATCAGTCTGCAGGCAAACAGACCTGCTTACAAAATCTGAAGTCCAGTTAGGACAAGTTCTCACATGTAAGCAGTGGTCACGCAAGTAAGCCAAAATAAAAAAAAATAAGTTCATCTTTACTCCAGAATTATGATACAATACCTATATCTAACATCAAAGCTTTTTACCAGAAGTACACTTAATGTCTTGTATAAACACATACTTGGTAAAGCAACTGACTTTGACTGAAGAGAGATTTAACTTCTAGAGAACAGTGCTAATCTGACTGAAGAGAGACCATAATGCATTGAAAACACTGTCAACCAAACCATATGAACCTCTGAAATACATCTCACCGCAAACCAAATTAATGTATTTCAATACCTGAAGAACATCATTAAGCCATTTACCTTGTAGTCCTTCAGCAGATCCAAAAGCTGAAGTCCAACCTTCAGTAACTCCTTCACTGACTGTAACACGACATCATTTATTCTGGATCAGCTGCAGAGCATAGCCTTGAGAGCAGACACCCAGCTGAGAAACCACACTTTCTATTTGGCTCAGTTCAGGGACCCAACACCTGTCCCTGCAGTGGCTGTGCATGCTGTAGGATGCTGCTCTTTGGGAATCTTCTGAAGAAAAACACCTTGAATTATTTTTTTTTTCCAAGTGAAACCTCCCCCCTCCCATTTCCCAGTCCAGCAGAAGTATCTTGTCAACTTGTCCATGAATTCCACAGATGGCTCAATGGGCTAATATGTGTTTTGAAAAATTCCTTTGATGTTAGAGTGGATAGTAAGTTTCATTTTACTCCTCTTACCTTGTTTTCTGGCTTTCCATTTCAATTTGATTTACCTAATTCAGATACACAGAGATGTAACTAGGTCATACTTTAATGTACCAAGTATAATCAACCATTTAACTTTTATTTATAGCAGATATGTGTCAGCCTTTTAAACTGCTGGCTTCAATGAGATCTTTAAGTTGCTGTCTACTTTCCAAGCAGATAGCAGTTCTGGTAATTCCAGGTAATTCTGCCCATGCTTTTACATAAATGCACAGATTCTACACAGTTTTTTTGTAGAACCCTTTGACTGCAATGTTGTTTTTTTTTAAGTATACTCCACCTAATCCAGTCCTTGGGCTTTTTAGTGATATCTGAAAGTGACTGGGTAATTTTATTCCTCAATACAAAACCTAAACCCTTATCAATCTACAAAGACACAAATATTAATGTTCTCAGCAGCCTTTACAAACTATGCTTGGCCTAAAATAAAATAAAAATCTGAACATTTCATAAAAATTCCACAATTAACACTTTTCACACAGTATTTCCATCTCATTAAAGTGCAAGGTCATATAACACATGCAATTTCATTGTCCTGGCTAGGATCTGAGTATCCAGTATCAGCAAAGTTTAACTGCAGCTCAGCTGAATTTTGTATAAATTTTATTTCTCATTTTTAGGTTTGCCAACAGAAATACCTTCATAAACAGAAATCAAATTCTTATCCTTGTATTTTCAATTCAACCTTTTGGGGCTGCACAAATAAAATATTGCTGTCTTAGCTTACAGAAGCTTACCACTAGTTTTGAAGAAAAAGTGCCTCATACAGGCAACTCCCTGGACACCCTGTTCCAGGACCTGTGGCATGGGCATATCCAGCAGAGTGACCAATGACAACAGAAAATGTGAAATGAAAAAAGAAAAGAGATTATGCTTCATTCAGCCTTGTTTGACCAATATGCTGAAGAAAATAAAGGTATTTTCTTGCATAAAATATGTTCCTAATAGAAAATTAAAATATTGGAAATAATGGAAAAATGGATGTATTAGCAAGTACTAATAAAATAGCTATTTCTTTCTTTTTTATGGGTTTTAAAGTTAGTCTTCTATGTCTTCTACTATCAGTGTTCATGTTTCAATAGCAAACCACAGATGTGCGATTTCAAACAAAAGAATATAATGTCCTGAAATATAAGTGCTGCTAATGCTGTCCTGATGCACAGCCACTCCCAAAATATTTTCTATTTGTTGACTGACAAAGGAAAAATCAGGCAGCTTTCAGATTGAGTAACTTTCAAGATATTTCTATGTAAATGTTGCAACTTCTTTTTACATGATCTGCTTTTAATGTTCAGAGTTTTCTTTGTTTTAATATTACAGATTCCAAAGGGAAAAACATGTCAACCAACATTCCAGCTTCCAACAGCAGAGAAGCTAGTTTTTTCTGGATGCTCAACTACTCAAAGATACAAACTAACTTTCTGTGGAGTGTGCTTGGACAAGCGGTGCTGCATTCCTAATAAGTCCAAAATGATCACTGTGCAGTTTGAGTGTCCCAACGAAGGCTTCTTCAGGTGGAAGATGATGTGGGTAACATCCTGTGTGTGTCAGAGGACTTGCAGTGCTCCGGGAGATATATTTTCCCAACTCAAACTCCTATGACAAAATACACCATTGACTATAACACATGGAGTGCAACAGCACAGTTACACCTTGAAGAGTCAGCATAACCCCCTGCCACAGCAGTGTTTATAATGAAAATACACACATGACTATTCATTCACTTATTAACTAGCACCTGTAAAACGCCAGATGGCATCTTTTTCAATGTAACTGTTTTTACATGAGGAGATACATTCTTGAGGAGGATGTATCTAACACCAGCAGAACTCCAACAAGAACTTGTGGTAACTAAGAAAGGCACAGCAAGAGAGCTTCATATCCCGCTGTAACAAGTTTTTGCCCACAAAGACAAATAGATGCTCTAACCTATTAAGAAAAAAATTGCCCTGTAATACTTCATCTATCATTCTTCATTCTTAAATTAACATTTTCTGCTATACATCTTCAATAGTAAAACACATCAATGCTGTTTGGAAATGGAAGTCATCAGCTTTAAACTCAGACTGCTTTTTGCAACAGATAGTCTTTCTCTAGTGTTATGGATATAAACACTGGATGTGCAAAGGAACAAATAAGTGGGCAACTGCAGATAATAGAAGCAAGACTTAAGAAAATCGCTATTTTTAGAACATTTTCTTAAAAAATGCTCTCAACAAATGTTATCACAATACTTTATTGAATACTTACAGGCTTATACATTCAAAATTGCGCTTACTTACATATCCACTCCAACTGTGCTAGGACTTCAAATTTCAAGAAATCATTATATCAATCCATTCTGATCTGTAACAGTTCACTGGAAAGCAACTGGAAAGCTGTACATTCTATTTTGTAAAAGTTATTACTGTAATATAAAAAGCTGCTTACCCTGATAACTATAAATATTAAAACATTTATTTTACTTGCATTCTTTCGAGGCTATAAGCATTTTTCTCCAAATGGTCATTACAACTTCATCATAAGTGCATGTTTCACTCAGAAGTATTCTGTATCATCCCATTATCAAGTGCAACTCATCATTCATGAATATGAATCATGAAAATATTAATTAATATTCCAAGTATAATACTTGAAACAAAATTTATTTTTTGGAATTTTCTGTTATTTCCAATTTTGGTATCAACTGAGAATGCTCTAATATAGCTAAGTACAACATAGAAGCAGAAATACTAAAACGCGGAACATAGCTTAGAGCATTCTGAAATGTCTACTGCAAAAGTATAAGAAAGCAGTTTCATTAAAGACTTGCTTTCATCTTTGAGAAGACTACATGGGCTTTTCTTCTCTTTGCAGTCACTTGTTAAAAACTAAATCTAGCAATGGTGATCCTTCTTTGAAGTAAGACCTACCTTTAGTTTACTGTAAGTTGAAAGTCTGAGAGAAGAATTATATTTTTGGTTGCTACATACAATCTCTCCTCCTTTTCTTCACAGCATATTGTGTGTCAATTTATTCCACAGTTAGGATTACTGCCCTTACTGATATCAGCCACAATTAGGTGCCTTCAAATCTTTCTTACAGGCATGGCCCACCACTTAATGACAACTCTTGAGGTAAGGAAGCTGTTGTGCTGGTCCCACTTTGAAATTACAATAGCATGCTGCAAGTCACTCTGGTTAACTGATGCAGCTGCATGCTTAGGGAAAGTGTTTTTTGTTGTTGTTGTTTTTAAAATCAGTTCTTCCTTCTTTAAACAGCGATCTTCAGTCTTGAAGGATCTATTCTAGGCCCATCTTTTGTAGCATCCAGTTCATTGTACTCTTCTATTAGGTCAGACAAAGAGGATATAGCTTCCGAAAAACAGCTTTGCTCCATCCCATCTATTTGCAGATAATGGTGAAGGTGAGCCTAAGAAAATAAAAAAAAATAAAAATCAGTGTTATCTTTTTCTTGGTATTTGATTTCTTTGGCTCCGTAAATACCATTTAAACTATACTGAATGGGGGAGTGCAAGCACTTTTGAAACAGCACTTCGAGGCTTATACCATGACATCCCTTGTTTAAAAACTTGGTAACTTTGGTAACAATTCCCTGGTCAATCACAGTCAATATTACTGACTTCTCAAACACCCATCTTTTCATACCCAGGCATTCTTGGGTATGCCTGACCAGCTGTGGATTGCATTTACATGGAAGGGTTTTGGTAGCAAGGGGAATGCAGGGCTGCAGGGGGGGCTTTTGTGAGGAGCTGCCCCCATGCTGAACAGAACCATCCCAGCCAGCTCCAGTATGGACCTACCACTGGCCACAGGTGAGCCCATTAGTGATGCTGGTAATGCCTCTGTGACAATGTATTTATCAAGGGGTAAAAATGCTGCATAATAGCTGTGAGAGAGAAGACTCAAGAAAATGTGAGAGGAACAGCCCTGCAGACACTAAGATCAGGTAAGAAGGAACAGAAGTGGAATTCTGAGGCTGAGAAGAAGGCAGCAGGAATGGAGGTGAAGGTGTTTTCAGTTTTATTTTTATTTCTTGCCATCCTACTCTACTATTATTGGCAATAAATTAAATTGATTTTCCAAATGCCAGGTCTGTTTAGCCCATGACAATAACTGGGTGTTCTCCCTGTCTTTATCTTGACCCACAAGTTTTTCACTGTACTTTTCTCCTGTCCTGCTGAGGAAGCAAAGTGAGAGAAAGCTTGGTGGACTCCAAGGTTTAGACTAGATATTAGGAAGAAATTCTTTACTGGAACAAGTTTCCCAGAGAACCTGTGGATGCTTCATCCCTGGAAGTGCTCTTGGTCAGGTTGGATGGGGCTTTGAACTACTTGGTCAGACAAATATAGCCCTTGGGCTGTTAATTATAGACAGTCCCTTCATGACACTAAGGTCTGTGTTTCAATAATGCAATATGCTAATGTTTTGTGACTATGGATGTTAATAATGATAACAGTTGCACCTTTTTCTTGTAGAGCTTCATAAATCTGTCTTTGAGTTCAATGAAAGTTGGTTTTATGCATGTGTTGTTTGCTAAAGCCAGAAGGGAATGGGAATGGCCCACAGGAGGTACTGAACACAAACCAGTTTTCCAGCCCTCTTGATTCCAGGAGACAAAGTGAAGAGAAGGCTTCAACCTGTGATACAAAAATTTAATTATCTAAGGAATATAAAGAATACAAAGGCTAACTACGAACAGTTTCAACTAACAATCTGAAAAAGTTAACATTCAAGCACTCAGGATTAAGGAGGACAGTTATAACTATCACTGTGAATAAGATACTTTAGACTTCAGACTAAACCACTGTATCTCTGTGTTGAATTTAAATTGCAAACATCAATTGTGCTTTGTTAATTCAATGCATTGGGATTTGAAAAGTGAAGTTATGAGTACCTGTTTCTATAAAAGGGACTGCAAGCACTCTGAGATTTAGTAAAGGGGCAGGTTAATATTGTGTGGGGGCAATCAGTCCCCACAAATCAGTAAAATAATTTAGATTCCCAGAGATTTTCCCCATGCACCTGTCTGCCTATAAATTCCATTCTGCCTGCCTTTCCTGTTACATCTATGCAGCTCAGTAGTGTTCAAGGTAGAAAATGGGTGCTAGCAGCACAGAGCTGTTAAAATAAAGATGATGTCCTACCTACATGAAAGTAACCATTGAAAGAGAAGGGTCTTCTGTCCAGCAAAAACAAACTACTACTACAGAACTCATTACTCCAAGATCCTTTGCTGTTGGGAGACCCCCTGGAAGGCTGGGCTTTGACTTTTTTTTGCAATTTGGAGAAAGAGAGGAGTAGCACCTCCCTTTACTTGGAAATCCAGGAATAATATGACTTATTTTCACTCATTATATAAGTTAATTATGTTTTCTTCACTTCTAAAAATTAGAAAAGGGTGTTGAAGTAAACCGATTTGGTATTCAAACTGTTCAAATGAAAAGCTGGAATGCTCTGAACAACTGCTGGTTTCTGTACAAATGCCATGACTGCTCTGTGTGGTATTACAAACCTTTCAATATTTCTGCGAAGGTCTGAAACCTGCACGTTTCCTCGAACAAGAAGTGCACAGGCGAGGTAGAGGCTGTGCTTTGGATCTGCTTGGATTAGTTGATGATCTCTGCTAAATGCATCTGAGAACATCTGATCCAGCCTAGGAGAAAAGAAAAGTTATCTACTCTTATTAAAGTAGGATACGGAAGTTCTACACAATGCCCACCTTCAGGATTTAAAAGTTCATAAAATTCTGCATAAAGGTACATTGAACCCAGGATCATAAACGATAGGAAAGATTTAAACCTTTATATGTACATAGGTTGGCATTAGAAGTTTTTATAAACATACTGGATGCATTTTTTCCTCACCCTCAAGTTACAAGCCACTGTTTAGTCAGAGAAGTTGCCGTTATAAAGGCAATTTGAGGCCAGTGGTTACAAAGTCTTAAAAATCTGTAAAAGGATTTAACTACTTGGGGGTCTGATTGAGTGGACAATCTAACTGAGAAGGATCTGACAAGAAATATCAAAGTGCTGATGATCTTTACAGAACTGATTATCTGCCTTCATTATTTAAAAGGATCAATGAGTCATAGAACTGCGTTAGTTTTGATTAATGATTTGGGAAAAGACAAGCTATACATTCTTGCCTAGTCTACTTATTCTAATTTTATCACACATGACTGCTTTAAAAGATGACACTGCAGATCATATTCTTCCTCTCTTCATTTCCTTAACCAAGTTTCCCTGTACTATGGATACTAAAGATGGTGTTCCATGCACCCACAACATCTCAGCTACTCTTTCCGTGTTTCAAATGCTGTAGATTTATAATCTCTATTTCTTTTTTCTTGTATCACCTCTGCCACATGCCTATTACAAAAAAAATAAAGGAGACAAATATATTAGAGTTCCCACTTCATTCTGAAACATCTTTGAGACCATCTCCTCATAGTCTGCTACCTTCCCCCCAGTCCTCAAGATCTGTTTTCAACAGATCTGTCACAACTTGGTACTGGAAAATAAGTGTGGTCCTGTCCTCTTCTCCACTTTGCATCACTTGCCCTTAGCTGTCTCTAACACTGTTTGGGCCTCTTGCTGACAGAACACACTCCATCAAACCCAGTAAAATCTATTTTAACTGGTATTTTTTCCGCTATGTCAGAGGGATAAATATTTCACAAAATTTGACACATCAGCTTATCATTAAAATAAGATGTTAAATAGGCTCACTGCACTCACTGCATCTCCAGACTGAAGGAAGACGCTATTATTTCCCCAAAGAGCCTAGTTAATCCCTTGTTTGTCTTTAGAGTATTTTGTCAGTCAAATGCAAACTGTTACTCAAAAGAACTTTTGGTGTGGGTTCTAAGCAACACATTTTCCCAACAGAAACACTTCCAGCAGAGATTAAAAGGATGTCAAGTTTACTGGATCAACCATTACAGAGAAAAGGGACAACAGATGTTCCATAAATCAGCAGGATGAATTTGAAAATATGGCAGACATACAAGTTCTAAAACTTCCACCCTTAGTGTTGCTACAGAATGCAATTTTTAAATGAAAACTATGGAAAAATCAGAAATTAAGCTTTAAACGTGAAACTCTAATAATATTTATTTTTACCTTCTAGAAGGAACATTAACATCTGCCAGTGTATACAGAGGAGTTAAACTTGAAACCAAATAATGAAGTCGAGGAAATGGAACCAAATTCATGCTGATTTCATTGAGATCCATGTTTAGGGAACCTTCAAATCTAGCAGAGCTGAAAAATTAACAAACTTTTATGAAACTGCTACAAACTAAGTAAATCACTTCTATAAGGTAAACTTCTATGAAATCTATTTTTCAGCTGTTCTGCACAATAAAACTATAAAACAACACAGCATTTAAGCAAGTGTTCAAGTATAATTAGAAAACTTTCACATCTGGCAGCAACAGTGCTACGTCTTATTTACTTACATGTCCCATTAAAGAACAATAAATTACCAAGAAAAATTCCTTGTTTCCCAGTTGTAATCTTTAGCACTAATTCAGTATTATTAATATTGTTTAATACAACTTAATACTGGTTAATTAATACCAGCTGGTTATTACCAGTTAACTGATACCACTTTTACTAAACAGGCTATAATGAAACACATGTGACTCAGCATTCCTGACAAGCTGCTTAAAAGAAAAACAGGCCAAATGTCCAGAAGTATATTTCTTGCAGCAATAGACTGTTTACAAGCAGAAATGATCTGACATTTATAAAATAGTGCAACTGGCCTAGAAAGGCAAACCTCCATGGAATCCATTAGGCACTAGTGGAAGGCAATATCCTTCTGCCTATAAAATTACTTCAGTTTTAAGACTATCATGGCTAAAGCAACACCATTACAATCTGAGTACTTCCAAATACTTTAGCATTTAGTAACCAATTCTTAAAAAGAGAAGACATATTGAATGAAAACGAGTTAGTATTACTCAAGTTGATGCAGGCCTGTGCATTTACTGCACACACCACCTCCAACAATCCCACTTTGTTACAGAGGAATAACCTGTACCTTTACCTTGTCAGGTTCAACAGCAAGTTGGCTACGATGTTATTCATTGCATCAAATGGCTTCTCTTGTAGCGTTTTTGCACTCCCTGCACTTGATGTTACCAAGCTGTTTTGCTTCACAGTCGATCCTAACTTCCCAGAATTGATCATCTGATGAATTTTATTAACTATCTCAAACAGAGACTTGGAGAGAGAGAGAGAGGGGAAAAAAAAGCACAGAAATAGTCTTGAGTACAGAACTTTGAAATTCAGTACTGCACTTTTTAATTTCTAATGATCTTGAAAGCTCAGACATTGTACTGTTAGTTTAAAGATTGTACCTTTGATACATCTAAGTCTAACTTTCGAGCAATTCCAGTTGACTGAAATGCTTATAAAAGCCTGTGCCTTACATATCACAAATATATACACAGCTTGACTCAGAAGTTTGAATTTTATTCAACTATTCAAAATCCTTATGAAAATTTAAAATGCAGTTTTAGAAGATAACACCTGAAGCAAAAAAATATGGTCTCTCACTAAATTTCACTTTCTCTTGCTTTTTCTCAAAAGTAAACAGCAAGACAGTCACCGAAGCTCGATTCAAATGAGTCTATCACTCTGCAAGGTCAGGTATATCTATGATTCCCATGTCACTAATCAGCACAGTTAAGTTTGCTGGAATCTGGAGAAGTCAGAGGTCCTTGCAGGACCCTACTAATACTATGCAAAAATTGATTGCTAAAAGAATAGAAGATACTCTACCTCAGTAAATAAGAAGCTTTTCACTGTTTACCTTGAAATACCCATGAAAAAATTCACTGTACCTTACTCTGAAGGAGCACAGCAACTTTTTAGTGATACCCATGTTCATTTCAAAAGCTTGCAAGTGACTTAGAAGTTCAATTATTACTTTAAAAAGTGAAATGATGCTTTTGGAGATTTGGTACATAAATCAGTACTGAAAAGGAAGAGACACTTCCACTGTCTAATAAAAAAATTACAGAAATAGAATATTATTTCTTACCTCATTCTCTATTGGTAGTACACAGTCTGCATGTTCATTAAGCTCCTTCATAGCCAGAACACTGTTATATGGAGAAGTAATAACATCATCTTCACCAGATGGATAAACTGAAGTAACAAATCTGTATACTTCTGGGAATTCCTCCTCAAGCAAATTTAGTACAAAAGTTCCAAGACCAGATCCTGTCCCTAATTATGAGTGAAGACAGAATGAGAGAAGACAGGTTCCCCACATTATCTTAGGTTGTAACACTCACGTAGGAGACATACAACTTTTCAATTATATATGTTAACGAATATTTTCTGAAGCATTTGGCTGACAGTAGAGGCTACTCAAAGGTAATTAAGGCAGGAAGGTTTTTCCCAGACAGGAAAATAATTAAATAATAAAATTATTTCCCACAGTATGACAATCATGGTGAAGTATACACTCTCAAAAATTTCTGTAAACCATGAAGTCCCATTACATAACAAACATTTTCTGACCTAATATTTCTGCTTCTTGTTTTCAATTCTTTAATTTGAATCATGAAACACAACATTTGCTTAAAAGCATTGAACTTTTCCAAACAATACTATTTTCCTTTTTTTAGGGTTTCTTTATGAAATTTTCTCATTCTTCAGTAAAAAAATGAACTGCCCCTGCCCCCAAGCACACAGGCTTTTTTCCTCATTAACACTAAGCACGCAGCCCTGAGTTCAAAACAGAGAATTGAACTGTGGTCTTTTTCTGAATATTCAGCTACATTCTCAGTGGCAGACAATTTAGTCTATGAACAAGACAACAGTTTTCACAATAACAGAAACAGTACCTGCAGGGTCTCTGAAATTAAGCAAATAGCCACAAAAAAGGCCCTTGACAAAATCCTTGCTTCATAGTTAAGAGCTATTATCTGTGTCTTTTTCCACATCATAACCAGTTATAATGCATTCTATTCTCAGATTTCTGCAGTAGGAAGGCTTGATGGCAATGTAATAATGACAAAATTGTCACTGCAAAGGATTCTCCCTTTTGGCTTATTAACAAAGTAACTAGATCAGATTCAAGCGAATTATGTGGAAGGAAAACAGAAAAACAGAGTTTTTCTGAAGTTAAACGACATTAGAAGTCTCCTTCAAAGCTTTTTAGAAAACTCCCCACAATTAAAACCAACTTGATTATGACAATGCTGTCAGTGTTCAGGGGACACTGACCTTTCTTCTGATCAGTAATACCTCAGTGTATGTCTTTGATATCTGTCTTGATCTCATTGCCTCATCTTTAGAATTTTAGATTCATTTTGGTTCTGGGTAGAACATTAGAGCTCCTCGGTGCTCTAACAAAACAAATGATAAATAATTACGGGTCCACTTAATTATACTATATTAATTTTTTTAAAAATCTGCATTCTGAATGATATAGATTATTATATTGTTTTTCTTTTCAAGATCCATGTGTTTTCTTTTTTTCATCTGTGGCTACTGCAATCACACTCCCCATAAAAAGATTACTTACCACCTCCCATGGAATGAATTATAAAGAAACACTGTAGACAGTCACAATGCTCAGCAGTTTTTCTCAGCTTTTCCACTATGTTTTCTCGGTACTGACAGCCATATATCTTATGACCTACAGCCCTGAAGATAAGAAAAGTACTTTAAAACACACCCCCAAAAATCAAACTTTAAAGTTTTAATTTTAACTCCTTCTATGTGACATGTTAGAGTTCAGAGTCCAAAGCTGGGTGCAACACCTCATCTGTGAGTTTTTAAGTTGTGACTACATAAGAGCATATGGAAGTCAGGACATGGTTTTAACTTGGAGGATGCAAACAGCTCTAAGTTCACAACTCTGGAGTATGCACTTACTCTCCTGTACTGAAAAGGAAATAAACTTCCACACTGCATGATCCAATTGTAGTAATGAAATGAAGGCTATATAGTCCTGAACAATAAAGATATCCCTATGTAATAAGTGTATAGATCATCTTTTGAGTACTCTGCAAGTCAGTTGCTACTAGTAACAAAAACCCCCCCAACAGCTCATTTTCTACACACTTGTCTAGCAATAGATAGTAAAGATTCTTTTACTCCCCATATTGCACTCTCTTTTGGTACATTGGCTGGTGATTTGCTTTCCAGTCTGTAGTGCACTGAATTAGAGTACCTTAAGGTCTCTGTGAAAATTTGGAATTCATTATGTTAATCAATCTTTTTCTGAATATCTCTTTTGGTAATTTGTAGTTTATATGCACAAAGCCAGACTCTGCAGTGCTTAGAAACCAGAAGCACATTTGTTCATATATCTCATTTCCACAGTAGCTGCACAGTCTCAAACTAGATTATGGCTTCGACTAAGCAATGAAAGCAGCTGAATGCCAAAGAAACAAAAATAAAAAGCATGTTCTTTTGTAAAGAAAATCAAAAACTAAGGAGAAAAAAAAGAGATAAAATGATATATCAGCAGAATTATTCTTCTGTAAGAGCCTTTTCAAAGCCCTCCTCCAGGCAACAGTGACTCCAAGTTTGCTAGTAAAATGCTGCAGCTCTCCAGGTGCAGAAGACTCAAAGCTATGTTATCATTTCCCCTTTCAAATACCATCTAATTAGCTGCTAAGAAATGTGTTCTAAAGAGGTTCTCACCAGTTGTTTCCTGAACCAGAAACATCTGTGATAAGTTGCTTGCTATCAAACACATCCCTCAATGGTCCCTGTAGAATTTCATTTACCACACCCTCCTCCATGTCAATCAACAGAGCCTTTGAGAATGGAAAGAATTTAAATCAGTCAGTAAGCAAACCACCCTTGAAATAATCACACAAAGAAATATGAAATTATTTACAATACAAAAGGAATTCTGTTTCTACTCTGCTCCAGATACTTTTTCCCTCCCCAGTTTTTAACCAGGAGACCAACTAGATTCACCTTAGCCGATTTGCTAGAAGTTGTTTGAGAAGACTGCATTTCAGATGATGAAATTCTGTTAAAATTTTATGTTTTGCCCCACTGCTTAGGATTAAAAAAATTAAAACATTTTTATGTTTTCTTGCTTCTTAATCATTTAAAGTGGCTCAAAGAAACCAAATCCTCAGTTGATAGTATCTACAATAATTTTAATAAAATTCCAATAAAATTACTCAACAAGACTGGCAGCAAACTGTATTACTACATTAATAAAAGTTAATATTAGAAATTTTACTACTCAAAACAGTGGGCTTTTTTTGAGTTAAACCTGTGTGCAATTTTAAGAACTTCATGACAATTCCCACACAGCTGGACATAAATATTCAATGTAAAAAGAGTGACCTTTATAGATTGCCTTACTCGTGCTTTTAAAGAGCAGATTTTTCCTTTGTAAATATCAGGACCATTATCACCACTTCTGAAAAAGAAAAAATAGTAACAGAAAAATCTAAGATCAGATTCGTAGCATAAAATTTATACTACAATAAAATTTTATCTATTTCGTGTTTGGAGGACTATGACAATGCAAACAGAAACACTCTGAACATGATGCTAAGACCTCGTAATTCCTGAAAATAATACAATTACAGGACATGATCTCAATCAGAATTATCCTAAACATTACTTCAAGAAGATGAAAGATAAGCATGAAAGTTTACTCTCAGAAACAGCCTCTGCTTTGAAGCAATTCTACATGCATTGCCAAAATTGGGAAGGATTATCTTTTATCAGCATATGATATGTGCATCCACATCAAACAATGGAAAAAAGCTCCCCATGAGCATTTCAGTGGGGGTAGTACAACACTGTGCTTGTGCTCGAGGTGTGAAAGCTCTGTAACTGCACCAGCACAGTGCTGTGCTTGATTTATTCTGCTTATTATGATTTACCAGTTCAAAAATCCTGCTGGGCTGACATAGCTAAATCTTCTATCTTTCCCAGGACTGGTTGCATTGAGCCAACATAGCAGGCTATACATTATGTTAGAATCACATTTTTTCCCACTCAAAGGATGAGATACTATGGTCTAGCCAAACTATATTTAGCACAAGGGAAAAAAAAGGCAGGGAAGATTGATCTTATTTTCTTTTCCATCATTTACCTAATCTGGGAGATGGGCAAACCAAAATTTAAAGTATGTCTTAGACCATTCTACATTTAACTGCCACTGTATTCACAAAACATCAGCTAAAATTCACTACTGAATCCCATCAAGAATAAGGGGCAAAGAGTCCAGGCTGCACTGGATTACTCAAGAATTTTCCAGCTTCTCAAGCAAAGATGGTCTCTGGACACTTCTCATTAGGTGAGCAGCTCACAGCAGCCTCCAACGCTCATGTGACTCCTCTAGCCTACACAATACCTGCAGGAGTACGCTACAGAACCAGTAAATCCACCTAGAGAATTTCTCTTCAGGGCCTAACAAAATTCAAAGAGGAAACAGAACCAACCCCAGAACATTTCTTTTTCTTACTGTTGGCTTTGTTGTCTTTCATGCCAGATCATACTTTCAATCACTTGGATTCAATTGCTGAAAAAAAAATCCCAACATTCCTATATCCATGGGATAGCTTGGGTTGGAAGGGATGTTAAAGATCATCCAGTTCCAACCCCCCTGCCATGGGCAGGGACACCTTCCACTCGACCAGGTTGCTGAGAGAGAAAACAGATGCTTCTATTGCAGCCAACCTGTCAATTACAAAATTGGAGGTTTCATTTGGCACATACAGAGGCAGATATTTTTCATGATCGAATTTTCTTGATTCAAAAAATGAAAAGGTGTCGGAAATATAGATATGGAATGATAATAATAAACTTCAATACATTTGCAATGTTCTTTCAAAGAGGTAAAATTTCAGACAAAGTAATTTGGATTTCAGTGCTGTTCTAGTTAAAATCACACTGCTGTACAGCAACCTTTTCATATAATGGAAGGAAACAGAGGTTGATCAAACTTTTTTTATTGATTAAAATGCAACAGGCTATTCCAAGTACACATTTCTTTCTTGCAAACTGCAAAGATTTTTGTAACTGGACAGATAAGAGAGGACTGAATGGTTTTAAGGTATGAATTCGTTAACTTATAAAAAACAATTATAGACACCACTCTGGATAACAAAATAGTCAGATAAATAAGACAATTTTTTTTTTTCTAAAAATTTCTAAACGAGAAGAAGTTTTTTCTGACTATCTTGTATACAATTCCTCTTACAACTCTTCAAGAAATGCTGCTCAGTTGGTATTCAGAGGGCACACAATCTGAATTTTATCTGCACTGGCTAAAGCTATCAGATCTTGACTGTCCACGTTTGGTACACGAGGAAAGGAAAACAAACCGACACACTTTCAACACATTTAACTACTGAAGTATATAATGGAAATGCAAAGATAAGGAAAATGATTTTTTTGTTTTTGTTTTGAGGAGAACATAAGACAGCAAAATCTTTTTCTAGCACAAGCTGAATATGACTTAAAGAAAACTATAACTTAGGTTAAAAGAAGATACCATAAGCGTTGATCTACCATGTAAACTCATGAACTACTGGATCAAAACTTACCTTGTATCAACATTCCTGAAGAAACTGCTTAAGGCTTCATCATAAATTCCTTTCTAAAAGGAAACAACACAAAATGATGTGTAATGTCAAAAATTCTCAGTGCTTTCTCATGGAATAAATTAAGCTGGAAGGGACCTCTGAAGGACACCTGCCAAACCTCTTCACTTGAAACTGAGTGAACATCTCCATTGAATCCAGCTAGTTCTAGTCAGCTCTACAAAGAACATTTCACTGAAACATCAGCTTGTTATTAAAAACTGAGAAGAGAATGTAACTAGGAAATTAATTTTTCAGCACAGGATTAAGCAACTGTAGCAGTTTACTGAAGATCCCAATGCAATCATTAAAAATTGAAGAGCTGCTCTTCCGCTGACTCAGTTCATCACTGATACAACTCTCAGCTCATCATGGGTTCCATGCTTGTGATACCAATGGCAATGGAGTTCTGCAAAAACCGATCACACTGATTCTTGAAGTTCCTGCCAAGGGATAGCATGGAAATTACTTACCCCGACATAAATCTAAAGAGATCTGACAAGTTTAAATACCTTAAGTGCTTTATAGTCACAGCAAGAAAAGTGTGTTTTTGTTAAAGGTACTCAGCACAATCCTATGCCCTCATGTTGCTATTTTGGTCAGTAAAACTGTACAGGAAGTCATGGCATGAGCTAACAGGGAAAACAATGGTGGGCTTTGGGGGTATCCTCTTTAGCTTTACTGCCAGTGGCAAAGTATGAGCACTGAACAGCCCTTACCGTGTTGTTAACTGCCTCAGACCTGCTAATGCCTGGCCATAGGGAGACACACTGAGCTTTTCAGTGTGGAAATGCTGGAGAAAGCCGACCAGAATTAGTGATCACAGAATATTCCGAGTCAGAAGGGACCCAGAAGGAACATAGAGTCCAACTCTCAGCCTTTCAAGGGACACCCCAAAAGTCACACCATGAGCCTGAGAGTGCTGTCCAAATGCTTCTTGAACTCTGACAGGCTTGGTGCTGGGGAGTCTGCTCCAGCGCCCAACCACCCTCTGGGTGAACAACCTTTTTCTAATATGTAACTCAAACATTCCCTGACACAGCTTCAGGCCATTCCTTTGGATCCTGTCACTGGTCACGACAGAGATCAGTGTCTGTATCTCCTCTTCCCCTCATGAGAATGCTGCAGACTACAATGAGACCCTCAGTTTCCTCTAGTCCAGGCTGAACAGACCAAGTGACCTCAGCTGCTCCTTGTATGGTTTTACCCCAAGAATCTTCACTTTCCTCGTGGCCCTTCTTTGGATGTTCTCTAACAGCTTAATGCGTTTTTTTTTTAATATTGTGGCGCCCAAAATTTCCCCCAGCACTGGAGGTGAGGCCATCCCAGCTCAGAGCAGAGCAGAACAATCCCCTCCCTTGCCCAGCTGGCCCTCCTGGCTGCCAGGGCACTGCTGGCTCATGTTCCACTTGCCATTGACCAGGACCCCCAGGTCTCTTTCCATGGCGCCGCTTTCCAGCCTCTCTTTTATGTCCCCAGCCTGTCCGTACATCCAGCGTTGTCCCAGCCCAGTGCAGGATGCGCCGATCCCCGTTAAACTTCACACGGCTGGTGGCTGCCCACCCTCTGACTTAACAAGGACTCTTGATAGTTCACCCTAGGCTTTTTTTTTCACGATTAGTCGTACGGCACGAGAAGCTGGGGCTGGTTGTGGTCATAGTGAAGCGCCCTCAGTTTAACCAAACAATCGCAGCGCTCCGCAGTCACAGCGACGAACGCGGAAGGCAGCGAGGGCGGCTCGCCCCGGGCCAGCGGCGCCCCTACCTTGTTGACAGCGGCGTGTTCCCGCAGCGCCAGGTCCCAGAAACGGCATCCCACCTGGTTCCCGCACTGTCCCACTGCAAAGGGGAGAGACACGGCTCAGGCACGGGGAGGGCACGGCGGGAGGTCTGGGCGCCACGACCCCCTTACCCTGCACCACCACCGACTGGGTCATGGCAGAACCGGCGGCGCAGCCCTGTTTCGAAGCCGGCGCCCGGAAGCCGCGCCCCCTGAGTTCCTGCGGTGGAACGTCCCAACCGTTGCCTCAGCTGCGGGCGCTCGCCGCCTGCCCGCCGCGAGTGGAACGTGCCATTAGGGAGCGGGGGGGTGAGGGGGGACAGCGCGGGGGAATAGTGAGGTTTCCAGAAACTCGGTGAGTGTGAGGGAGACCTGAGAGGGGCTGCAGGGTCTCGGCTGAGGCCCAGATGCAGGGGGCATGACAAAGACTTAAAATAAAGTCTCTGTACGGGAGAACAGAAGAATTTCCATCCACTACAGTTAATTATCCTTTATGGCTAAAAATGGTGCGATAAGGAAGCGCTTTATTTTCCCCAAATACATAGTTCAGGGAGGTGGTGTGAAATGTGAGAAACGGTACTAAAATACAAATTAAAAATTAAATGTAAAAGCGGCCATTTGGTAATGCTGTAAATGTACCCTCCCACCAGGCTTGCACATTAAGCTCAGTTTCATATTGTGCTTATAATTGTCCACAGTGGAAAAACGAGGAGTGTAGGGATGCTGTTGTCTCAGCCCGGCACGACTGGGCCACAACTCAGCTGCAAAATCATAGAATCGTTTAAATTGGAAAAGGCCTTTAAGACAAACAAGTCCAACTGTTAATCCAGCACTGTGAAGTCCAGGACTAAAACAGTAAAGAATGTGGGACATGCAAAGCTTGCAGAAGGCTGTCTTGTGCCACAGATAGCATTTCTGCTTCCTGTGGGAGGAAAAAAGCACTTCCATGCAACCCAGTCCATTAGGTTTTATGGCTAAAATCTTCCAACGAAATACTCTTTTCCCAATTTGATTATTTTTAATGGTGGTGTACAAAAAAAAAAAATTGTTAAATAACATTTTTAATCCTTTATTTGCTTCTGGACGTGACCTGTAGAGATTAATTGTAGGTCTACAGGAAAATAAAGTTACAGTAAATGGCTATTTAAAAAGAACTTTCCTGGAAAGATTATGTATGTATTGCAGCAAATATTTTACAGTACAATCTAAGAAGACATTATATACAAGAAATAGATACACAGGCTAATTTTGTAAAATTTAATTGGAATCATATTATTCTTAAGAAAAAGTACTGAGTGGCCCAAGCTTACTCAAGTGTCATGTATGAAATGTGTGAAAAGGACCAATGGCTTTAGTGTTATAGGCATGTTTAGCATGAATAAAGTAATTCTGCCTCAAACATATCTTTTCTATAAACTAATCATTAGTGTAAAACTACATGAATGTTAATCAGGAAAGTAGGTAGCCATTTCTCTCTGGACAGACTAGATGTAACCTATAACTTAGTTTTGTTCCCTATGTTTTTTTGAAGTGGTCCAAACTTGTAGGCTGTGCTGTGTTCTTGCTATTAGATGTCAAACTGTCAAAAGTCTTCTCTTCATGTCTTCTCAGCCTTAATTAAGGTTAAAAGCGGTACAACATTGCTTATAAGCATTCTAATGCTTAATTTAAATTCTACAGAATCTCTTAATATTGCCATATCTGACTTTCTTCTTGTGTAATTAGCTCCACTTTCTACTTGTGTTTTAGGTTAGTTGTCGTTTTTATGTTCCATGTCTCATGAAGATTCAGCTTAGTGAGATTCACTCTACTGAACATGATGTTGCAACAAGACACTCTGAGCTTCGGCTTCCACTGTTCTTGAAGTGGTCTGTGAAGGCAAAGGTAAAGTGATATTCTCTCTGAGCTTGGAAACACTGTGAACTGGAGATGCAATGGGGATTCATGCTCATGTAGGGATGTTTTTTAGCTGCCAAAGGAGGTCCAAGGGCAGGGAGTTGATGTGCAGTAGCCAGTTTGGCTTGATGCGTATGCTCAGATGTTTAATGAAACACCTCAACTCTGTGGAAGAAATAATCACACACTTAACTTCCTATTTTGTTGTAGCTGAAGCTCCACTTCATCAACATAGTATAAAATGCATGAATCGATACAGGTCCCCTTGGAAATAATTTTGTCTATGTTAATCATTTAACCAACAGACTTATGGTAATACATGTTTCTTACCCTTTATTTCTTCATAACATTCTGCTGATGTGTTATACAGGAATGGTGTTCCACAGCTTTGGAACACAAATAGAATAATTGTATAAATAACTTACTATGTTATTTAGTGGAAATTAATTGCCATGGACCACAGTGAATCTGTGAATAACCCTTAAATCTCATGCTGTAACAAGAGCCAAAAGTACATCACAAGTTAAATATGTGTGCTATGCTTTCAGCATCTTTTTAATAACAGTCATTTGACTATTTAGGCCACGTGCTGCTGTAGGGAGAATACACTGGAATTTGAACTGATGTTGTCCTTTGATTTATATCAGGTCTTAGTTCACATATGAAGATTTGTTAGTTTGTAATTTTAATTTATTTTATTACATTTTTTTGTTTCTTAGAGTTTTTTTTTAAATTAAGAATTGTATTTTTAGAAATTACTGTTAAGCTTGTAACACTTCCATCTTTCATTTTTCTACTCAGGCTGTTGTCCATACTCTGCATTCTTGAGGAGAAGGGTGTTCTGTACACATCTTGAGATGCAAGAGATAGAGGGGTCCACAATACCATTTAAATCCTCTTTTTTGAAGCAGTTCCCTGAGCATTTGATCTTGAAAACGGTTTCTTTCTTATATAGTCATGCAAATGTCCAATTTCAGAATATTTTGGGATACAGTAACAGTGTAGTTGTGGCCCTGATTTAGGTAATGGCTATAACAACACTTATTAAAACCTTGAAGGTGGCAGGGAAAAGTTATAATCTTGGGTCAGTGCTCATTTTTTGTTGGCTTTCTGCAGAATTTAGATACTTATATTCATGTTAGAAATGGAAATGGAAATGGTGAATCTGACAATGTAGTTCAGAACTTAAAGGTTTTTCCCAAATCTTTGTAGATGAAGGGTTTTGTACTTTGAAGCTATAATTTTAAAGATAGATACAGGAGACGAATTCTGGGAAGCTTTCTGCTTAGGCAGTTCCCTTCTCTTAAACACCAGCAGCCTTGAAATGAATGCAGAGGTATGTGCAATGTAATGCATCACATACTGGCTTTCTTTGGCGCATATGAAATGGTAATTTTAAGGTCTATGTGGATGTTGGGGGCAGGCAAATTTGCATTATTTTCTCTCTCTCCTGAGTCTGCAATATCCTCTGGTTTATAGTGTTTTTCTTTGGAAACCTGTTCTGCAGAGGGAAAACCCACACCTCTGAAGCCTAGAAGGGAAAATTGAGGAAGACACTCTCCAGAATAGTGGTGTGTTTGATTAGCTGGTGATAGAGTAAAGAGAAGTAAATTGAATAGTAGCAGTTTATGATTTTTAATTGGTTTTTATTCACATACTGTTTTAATGTATTTTTAGTTTTCCATATATAAAATATGCAAAGGACTGATTAAATCAAAAAAAGTCATTCTTAAATGTAAATCCACAGAACGAAACCAAATCATATTGAAGCAAATATGGCTAAGAGAAATACTGTTTATTCACAGAGCTTGGATGTGGATGTGAGAAAATACGTTTTGGTTTGAAGTAGGTGTGAGACAGAAAAACATTCCGAGTATGTGTGTACCAGTTAACATACAATGCCCCACTTAATACCAGCATTCACTAAACTCTGATGCTCTTAGAGGGCACAAGCATTTGCTATTCCTGGCTATCTCTGCTGAGCAGCTGCAGGCAACTCAAAAGGAATTTCAGTAATCCTTGTAACCAACCTATCTAAGCAGGGAATCTGCTGTTCTTTTCTCTCCAGCAACAGGGTCCTGGAGACCAGGGCCTGAGGAAGCTTAGCTCAGGTTGTGGTGTCATGAGCTTTTTTGAGCCAATCACTCACTGGCACTGGGATGAAAGAGACTTCCTTTTTTACCCCTAGTCTCAGCTGCACTACCCTGACACCATCCATGGCCTCTGTAACTACTGGGAACCCAGCTCACTGATCTGAGGACATTTGTCCTCAACACCACTAGTAAAAAAAATTCCAGAAGCAAAAGTCCTACATTTTCTGTTCCATTTCTGCATAGTAGCTAGGAGCAGGAAAAAACTTAGCAAGCATACTGGTTTTGGTGACTGAGAAAAAGATGGCATTTGAAGGCAACTGGATTTAGGGATCCACGCCTGATCCAGAGAGACTGCAGAGGGATACTTTTACTGCTTGCTTCTCAAGTATGAACAGTGGGCTTTGGAGTGATGAAAAGAAGGGTCTATATATCACTCCTGTGTGAAGGGGGCATCTGTAAGCTTAGAGTTGGAAAGGGAATCAGTCTTTGGAGCATATTGCCTGAGAGCTGCAGGGAAGAGAAAAGGGGATGTGTTCAGGAGAAGGCAAACAGAACAGGAATGGGGCTGAAAGTATAAGCAGAGCTGACAAGGCTGGTGAAAGGAGAGGCAGTGGCTACTGGAGCCACACAGTGTTCACTTACCATCCATCACTGGACTCCTGAGACAAATGGAGAGTCCGTGATGGGGTCCCAGCTGCTGGGGAGTTCCTGTGCCTGTGTACCCAAAGGTTGCAGTTCTTTATCCAGAGTACGCCAAGTCTGCTGCAGTGTGTCAAAACCCCTTTTTCACCCTACTGAGAGCAGTAGGGAAGCTGCTGATTAGCGCTTACATATGCATCTTATTCTGGTGGTTCTTCCATCTGTCCATGTTTTCAAGATCTTTGGATTCCAGTTTTCATTTGTGTGTTTTCCAGATGAATTCTCATTCATTTTGAGTCTCTAGAGTGTTGTCCTTTATTTTTGCATTTCATAGTTTCCTGCTTTGCAGCTGGTCATGTTTTGAGTTGGTTCCAACAATAATTTGCTCAGCAACCATAAAACTTTATATAACATTATTTTATTCTTTAAAGAAAAGAAAGCTAAATGGATTTTATTCCTTGTAGGTGATGACTGAAGGGACTAAGTTTTGCAAGTGACTTGTGTCTATTTGGTGTGCAAGCCTACTGTGAGTAGAACCCTACTATTGACTTCTATGGTTGCAACTGAGCTTGGATTTGCAGCCCTTTGCTTTCTGTTTACATCTTCCCATTTCACTCTTGGTTCCTCTGCAGCAGCATATCTTCCAAAGGAACATGTTCCTTGTTTGAGGATTACTGCTGTAAACTGAAGTCCTACAGGAGTTGCACAGGGAAGTGGTATTTTTGTATGGTAAGGGAGTCACCTGAAACTGTGACTGATTCTGCTTTCTACACTTCATGTTTACTTGTGTAACATTAGTGCAAATGAGATCACAATGAAATTGTGAATTTGGTGCTGTGTTTGTATGTAATTGCATTTAAAAATTCAGAGAAAAAACTTGAAATTTGGAATTGTCTCTAAGGCAAGCATTACTCTAAAATTACCTAGTTTAGGTAAATGAACATATATATAAAAGCATCTGTCTTAAAAGATATACATCCTCTCTTCATATTGTGCTAGAACATATCCATGAAGTCTAGAAGTGAAATAAAATTTTTAATTTTTCATTGTTTGTAAGCTTACATAATTAGTATACTCTCTTCCCCCCATTTTATTTGAAGACTATATAAATGAGTTGAATGGAAAATTAAAAATATACAGTATTTGCAATGTAAATCTATTATCTAGCTTTATTCTTTTATGTGCATTAGCAGATCTTTTCCTGTGGAACAAAGGGTGACTAAGATATGGAATAAAATTATGTAGAGGATCTATTTTGAAAGTAACATATTTAATATAATTTTAATTATTTTTATAATCTCATATTTTCATGTAACAGACTGGCCACACATACACTATAAGAAATGGTAAAGCTCACTCTTGTGGTATATTAAGAGAAGTGCAGGAGCAACAGCTTTTATTCTTCAGTGATTTTTGTTTGCATGTAAATATGTGACCCCTCCCCTTCCTGCTTTCTGTAGGCGTAGCTGTGATATTTTCATTCTTCTTGTCTTGCTGAACACGGTTTCTTTTGTTCTATTTTTCTTTCTGTGGTCTAAGGAACTTTTCAGAATCGATGCAGTGCACTCTCAGGCTGCTGGACAGGTATTAATGCTTACAGCACCACTAACCAAAGCTGCCTTACTAAAACTCACTGGCTTTTCATCAATCATGAAGTTACGAATGCAGCCAATGAAGGAATTGCGTGTAGTCAGGCTTGATGTTAGCAGAGACTCTGGAAGAAGGAGATAAAAAAAATGAAATAAATAAAAAATTTAGAGCTCATGATGGGCAAAATAATCAGTTTGGTGGCAGGATCTTTTAACTTTGATACTAAGTGCAGCTCTTCTGAATCTTCTTTTAAAACTATTGGCCAACTGCCAGTATCCTAGAGGCCATTAAAGTATGGTTAGTTGTCTACAGTTATGTAAAACTCTTGATACTGTATTATCAATAGAGACACAATTTTGCATGTTTTGACAACTACATTTTCTTTTAAGTAACAGAGTAGATGTGTCCCAGTGTCTGTTTCTGTAATTTAACATCACATGTATTGTCATCTGTGTCTGATTTGTTAGCAGAACAGCATTTGCAATTACCCCTTTATATTGCCTCTCTGGGAAGAGTTCTGTCCTAATAAAATTCCAGTTTGGATTTAAAGAGTGAGAAGGCATCTGTGCATAGATTTTATTATTCCCTTTTGGCTGATTTTACCTCCTGGTAGTGTGGGATGGATGTGAACACCACACACTCAAGCCTCTAATCCAAGACAAGCATTATAATGAATTTTGTAGTTAGAACTGTTAATGATTGACATGCAAGGCTCAGAGAAATAATGCTACATGTTCTCAATGAGAAATGTACTGGAATTGACTTAAAAATTGAATCACGTAGTGTTGATTACAGTTTGCATATGAACCCCAACAGAGTACCTCTGTCTGTTGAATAAGGGAAGGCAATGTAGTAATCTTGGCCCATGCTACACAGATGGTCTGTGAGTCACAAATACACAGGAGAAGAATTCTGTCTAACAGAAACCCCTAGTAAGAAAAAGAATCTCCATGTTCTGTCTTGTGTTCAAAGATGCTGTTGCTTGAAGAAGAGGAAAGAAGCCTACAGCAACTAAGCCTTGGGACTCCAGTTACAGTGACAGTGAGCTTCCAATCCCATAAATAAATAAATCACTTCTTAAAAAAACAGTAAGCCCATATGGGAAAGAAAGATAGAAAAAAGAAATCTTTTTTGTAGTTGGATAACTTTTCTACTGAATCCATACCTTACCCTTCAGCAGCTGTGAATGTTTTAATTTCAATGAAGCAGCACATCTTTTTCTTTGAGAACTTGAGGCAGAACAGTTCTGTTCAGCTCTTGAGCCTTTGAATTTTACCAGGTTGTTTACATATTTTGTTCTTTTTTGAGATGAAAACTTAGTCTTTATACTTTCTCTGGAAACTGGGTTGAAATCTGAGAACAATGTACCACAAAGATATCAAAAGCATACCTGGTACACCTCCAATAAACACTGGCTCCCTGTGGTCAGTTGCCTTTGGATTTAGTGGCCCTACCACATGGTTGACTTCAGAGTCTACGTCCAGCTGCACCACATTTGCGTCTCTAATAACTGAAAGGAGAAGGAACAGGGATCAGCAAGAAGTAGCACATGAGTTTTTTATGACAGACAGGAATTATCAGTTTGGTGTGAGTAGCTGTTTTAGTGTTTGCTAGATTGGGTGTGAGCCATCAGTAACAGTTTGTGAGTGGATTCTGCTATAGAGCAGGGCCAATGGAATATACAGTGGTAGCAAGGATGCTTTTGAGTGGGGCTCTTGATCACTGCTGGCAGCGTTCAGGCTCCAGGTTATGAGCATACAATAGCTTGTGGCTTAGAAAAACTGACCAATCACTCCCAATCAGGGATGTATTAGAATACAGTGAGGCTTCTTCCTTTCTTGTTCCTGGATTTCCTTCAGATGGAAACCAGAATGCTTGTGGAAAGGGTGCAGACTCAGATGTCTTCTGCAATGATAGCATTTAGACAGGAAGATGAGGGGGTTTAAGATCCAGGGTTTAGAAGTGCTTTTTGACTTTCAAAACCAGGAAAGAAGGATGTCTGGCACAGAGGCAAAGTCCAGCTGTAGATTTCTCTCTATTGTGAACAAAAGGTTCCCCACATCTGTCTTTTTATTTGACTTTTAAGAGTAGCATTATACTTGTGCCTATTGCATTCTATCAACTTAGTTCATCTCTCATTGGGAAGGGAAGAATATAATCTGCTATGTGAATTAGGAAAGGTAGCCAGCATTTCAGCTAGGCTGCTTTCTGTTCTTTGAAAAAGGAGCTTCCATCTTTGTTTGTTCTTCCTATCTTTGTAGGAACTTGTGCTTGCCCTCCCAGGAAGCTCTACAGTTTTGTGTCTGAGGGATAAGTAAGACTGTGTCTTTCACACAAACTTGGGTCTTGGAAGGTGAAAAAGAAGAAGTGAAAATACTTCTGCATTGCCAGTGCTCTAGCCCATGGAGATGGATATCTGGGGAGCAAGAGATGGGCTCTGTTACTTAGGGGATGATCACCATTTACTGACCTGCAATTCGATGCCACCTGCCATCGCAGAGACTCTGTTTCAGCGTCACTGAAGTTGAAAAATCCCTGATTCCATTATTCAGTTTCACAGTAACCTGAGGAAAAACAAGGTATTTATCTTTTTACCTGTCTTCAACCTATCTGTTGTAATAATGTTATATTCCCCACTCAAAACATGTGAACTATCCAAGAGAAAGGAAAACATAACTTCATTAAATTCTTCAAAATAAAGTACCTTTTAAATCCAAATTTAGGTTTTTGTTTTCTTTTTTTTTTTTAATTGTTTAGATTCAATAGTTCTGAGACATTCCTAATTATTTCAAAGAAGAGTTAAAAAAAAATAAAAATAAGACATAATTTTACTCATTTACTAGTACCTCTACTCTGTAATTTCCTGTGTGGTAAATTAGGGTTTAGAGGCATCAGATGATGTTTTTGGCATCTTGCTAGCCACTTAATAAGGAAAACAGTCATGAAAAACCCAAGTATAAACAAGCAGAAAAGATATGAGAAAGGAATATATGGAAAATTCAAGAATGACTTTTAAGTTACTTATTCAGCAGTAAGTCTCTAGCAGAGCTAGAAAGTGAACCTAATTCTGAATTTTGCACCTCTGCTTTAGTTAATGGATTAATATCTCTTTGCAAGGAAATGTTCCAGCAACAGCAAAACAGTGTTGTGGCCCTGTTGTGGGACATGAGATTCCTGGTAGTGATTGGCAGAGAACTCTACACTCAGAGTCCAACCATTCAGGCTTTTTAAATGTTGAAGTAGTCCCTGATTATGCTGACACTATGTTGACCAAAAATTACAGAATCATAAAAGGGCTTGGATTGGAAGAGATGGTAAAAATTGTCTTGTTCCAACCCCTCTGCTGTGGACGGGAACACCTTTGATGAGATCAGCTTGCTCAGAGTCACATCCAACCCAGTCTTCAACATTTAATGGGATGGGACATCCACAGCTTTTCTGGGTATGGGATGGGACATCCACAGCTTTTCTGGGTAACTTGTTCCAGTGCCTCACCACCCTCACAGTAAAGAATTTCCTCCTAATATCTAATCTAAATCTACTATCAGTTTGAAGCCAATCCTCCTTAAATAGTCCCTTGTAAAAAGTCCCTCCTTAAAGAGCCCTTGTAAATAGTCTCTCACAGTGAAAAAACTTATATTTAAATCTAGAGGGTCTCTGTTTGGATACAGTTGTAACAAAGATATATTAAATCTTTTTTTCCAGAAGGGCATTAACCAACACAATTAAAATGATCCTCATGTTCTCTTTTATTCATGTTTGGACAAAATGTATAGATTAAAGCAAATAAAGAATCATGGGAGAAAGTGACTCTTTAATAAATCACCCAGACAGTCTGTACTGATAGAGATGTGTACATTTAAAAAATAAATTAAAGTTGCTGATCTTACTTGTCCAGCAAAATGGTTTTCACAAAACAGGTCTTTTGTAATACAT